TGGCGTTTTCATGTGGAAACTGGTGGGTAGGGCTTGCTGGTCTCCTGGCAGGAGGTCAGACTGGACGCGGGGGTCGGAGAGCTGCTGCTGGCCTCCCGAAGCCGGCCGGCACAGCGGGCGCAGCTCCCCGCGGCGCTGCAGGATGCAGCTACGCGCCTTTTATCATCGGAGTCAGATTGTTCCTCCACAGGGCTCAGGAAAGCTCCGCTCGCCAGCTTCGCAATGAGCCACTTCCTTTTTTTCTTTTTTTAGGATCAGAATTTCTTTTCTTTTCCTCCTCCACCTCAAAAAAGCGGATATTTAATAATTTGGATCGGAAGAGCTTGCTATCGTGAAGCGATGGGTGGTAACCGCGCTGCACCTAGTGACATCACACTGTCAGCCTGGCCAAGTCTTCATCCCGTCAGGGCTATTCAGTAAAGCACAACTAATTATTCTGCCAGATCCTGGACCAGATGACAGATTGATTCACGGTACTAACTAAAAGAAGGGAAGGAGAAGAAATTGCACCATTTCCTATGACTGAAACTACATTAACCAATTACCCCAAGGAAAACTTTGTCAAAAGTTTTTATTGCAGCTGTTGAGCTATACACCAGACAGCTGAAGTGCATTGCCAGGAGACCCCAGTGCTGTGCTATGAAAGTTCATACGCAGAGCACAGTTTGCATTCAATATCCATCAACGTTCAGTGGAGAAAGATCTTTTTTCAGAACATCTGCAGAGTATCTCATATGTCAGAGGACCTAAAACTGTTATCAGAAAATGCTAATTAAAACTTAACAAAATAAAATACCTGTTTTTCTAAGCTGACCTGAGGATGCTGAAAACTAAAAGTAACACCAGGGAGACTGCTGGAAGTGAAAGTTTTTACTCAATTTGTCAGTCAACTCACAAGGGAAACTTTTCCTGGATAATGTAAAAAGTCTGTAATTACATCATCATGGCAAGGGCACACCAGTATGTTGCTTATTAATCATTTCCAGGAAGAAGACTATCAGAAAGCCATTCTCAATAGCACCACTGCCCGGCAACACAGGCTCCCTTGCTCACTGCAGGATGGGTACTTAAGATTTCCCTTGCATGAATTTCTTCTTTGAGCAAATTTCAATCCCTGCCAGAAGCCTGCAATGCAAATGCATCTTTTCACACGGTTTTCTGACAAAAGACTGGATTCACACAACACCCTACAGCTATAACAAACTCTCAAACTCTCATGAAACCATTCTCCTATGGTAGGAGCGACAGATGCATTCTGTCCAAACCAGTGAGTGCTGCCAGATTTTGCCTTTTCCCCTCTGCTCTGAAGACATGTGAGATACCTTCTCTCCACCAGATGTAACCCCAGGGGGAATGCCACGGTTCAGCATTGCCCAAGCTGCCCTGCACTTGCTCCTTAAATAAAGTCACTAAGACTTGTTCACCATACATGTACTACCAAAGCATTGTTCCCTTCCAAAAACTCGGACAACGGTAAAAGGGACAGGGAGAGATGGAGAAGAAGAGGACAGGAGAACAAGTAAGACTGTCACACCTATCTGGAACCCATAAGTTTGTATTTGAGAGGTGAAATCTCCTCCCTCCACTACAGGAAGCAACCAAGAAGAGCAAGGAAACAAAAGACGAACAAGAGGCAGAGCATGTTGGAGAAGAGGAGAAAGAGATATCCACCACATAGGTCATATTGTGGATGCAGTATTAATCTTGTTGATCATGACTGAGAAGAATAATACCCTAAATGGAAGCTATGATACAGTGGGGTGAAATACAGCAGACTGTTATACAGCACAGAGTAAAGTCCACAAGCAAAAGTCAGAGCCCTCCCAACTACCTTTGTTTCAATGAGTCCTGTGATCTGCTGCTCCGTTCCTCCAAGGGCTACTGATGCAATGTGCCAGATTCCGTGTTTCTTTCCAACTGTTCTGAGTCTCCTGCATCTGATCTCAAAGAAGGGAGCAGAAACAGCTGGAAGAGAGAAACCAGAATGGCATAGTCCAGCAGCAACCCTTGGAAGAACAAACAACAACAGCCTTGTGAGAGGTACCATTGTCCCCCAGCACGTATGTTTGCACGTGGACGCATATCCATACGTCTTCTACAAGAAACGCAAGTTGCTAGTGCGTCAGCTCTGGCTGGTCACAGAGCATCAGAGCATCTTCTGACTTAGCATGATCAGTGCAAGCTGAACAAACTGACAGCTCAACAGCACGACCGCGATCCACAGTCATGGGTGCCAAACAAGTCATGCGTGTTAAATGCAGTCTAAGTTTGGCATCACACTTCTCCTCCAGTGGTACCTTTACTCCCTGAGCAGCTCCACCTACTTTGCAGCACATGAGCTGCTTGCAGCCCGCGCAAGGGAAGCCAGACAAGGTCTAGTCTGTTTAGGTTTTAAAGCTCCTGCAGATCTATCTGCAGGCCAAAGGAGGAGGGCAAAACAGCAGGTGAAACAGGAGAACGAAGGAATAAGCTTCTTCAGAGAGAACTTAGATATTTGCTGCCAAAAGAGAGGATTAGTTGTGAAAATCAGGAAGTCAAGGAAGCAGAGAGCAGCAGGAGGCCACTGGAGATAATAGGGACAGTAGGAGCAAAGCTACTGCTCACCAAGGCACGTGAAGGGGAGATAAAAAGGCTTGTGCTCTTTCATATGTGCAAAGACTAGAAAGAGGGAGCAAGGAGGTCAGGGAGATGGTGCTGGTGGTGGAGGAAGGGCCACAAGTTAAAAAAAAAAAAAGCCTTTGAAAATGAACCATGAAAAAGTGATTAATAAGGGAAGAACTGTCAGGGTTGGCGTTAGGACCTTCTCATTTTCACTAGAAAGAAATAAGACGTTGCAACTCACAACCAGATTTGGGGAGGGAAGACCAGGAGCACAGCAAGACCAAGACAGAAGGATGTCATTTAAAGGACAGAAACAGAATTTCAGACAGAGGGCAAATCACATTAGAATGGCTAGGAATTACACGTAGGAGAGGACAGAAAACAAATTTAAAGGCTCATAAGATATTTAAGGCACAATAGCCCAAAGGATCTCTTGCCAACCTTACAGCAGGGATGAAATGGAAACCATAACATTTTTCCTGACCGCAACTTCCTTATAACCGATTACTAGAAAGCACAGGCACACCATGCCCCTCCAGGACATCAGTACCGCCGTAAGCCCGGTCCTAGCACACACAGTACAATTTCTAGAGGGGTCCCTCAATTCCGCATCCCTTCTGCCCCACACAAACCTACTGGCTTTTCACTGCAAATTAGTTCCCTTTTGTAAGTGCCAAGTCATCAAGGGCAGTAACAAAACAAGTACCTGGAGTATCGCAAGTCTGCCTGTCCCCTGAAGAGTTGGTTGGAGGTGTCCGGTGTCGGTAGACTAGGTGTGGTTTATTGTGTTCTTCTTCATACTCCCGTTCTTCGAGCGATAACAGCGGCTCTACGAAATAGTCCCCATCGTCAGACTTGAATGTGCCTAGCTGAGAGGGACCAGAAAGGAACAGGCGGTCAGCTTCGGGCGTTGACAAACCACGGAGCAGGACTACCCAACAAAATGAGCGGTTAAGGAGGGAGGTGCGCGAGTGCCCGGTTCTGCAGCGACCCCTGCGAAGGAGCAGGCTGGAGCTCCAGCTCCCGTCACACCGCTTGTACCCACGCCAGTCTGCACTGTTCCCTGCAGCCATCCCACTAGAAGTTATGGAAAACAAATTACTGATCCATCGGCAAGGAGCATGAGAGGGACACGTCTGCCAGACCCCATCGCTGTGCCAGAGAGATTTACCAAGCCACTGCTGCCCAAGGGGAGATGGTGCTGCAGCGTGCTGGAGGCCTCAGAGCAACCCCATCAAGTTGTGCTGGTTTTCATACAGCAGCTCTCCCTGAGACAGGCTTTAAACCCACATGTAAGGACCAGAGAGAGGTGTCCAGCCGGTGAAATCCCTGCTTATGAGGAGATACCAACTCTCCTAGTTACATGTGACTACGAACGTAGGGATTCAGCAGGTAAATAAAATACATTCAAGATAAAAACCATCCTGCAGCCATCCTCAACTGGGAGGCGTAACCAGCCACACACATGTGCACTATCTTGGGTGAACACACTCACCCAGGGAAGCTCCTGGACCAGGAGGAAGCTGGCAGAGACCTCTCGGGGGGCACCCCGGTGTGCTGGAAAGCACCAGGGCAGCCGGACGGGTCAGCCTTGCTAGGAGCTTCTGCTCATCCCTTTGCCAATACCTCCCTGCACAGAAGGGCACCAGGATAGCAGGAGGGGCTGCCAGCACGCCTGCTTCCACCTCTCCTCGGGCCATGCCCCCCCCCCGGGCTGCAGGACTGCTCTGGGGTCAGCGCTGCCGGGGAACCCCCCAGTCATCCCTCTCAGCATCCTGGGGGCAGGAGGGTGTCCATGCCCGGGGCTCTGCGCCCGCTGACCTCCCCCCCCCCCGGGGGTGCCGCTGGGTGGCAGTTTTTCCCCCCAAACCCGCCGAGCAGGAGGAGGTTCACCCCGGTGCCAGAACCCGACGGAATCGTAAAAGCGGGGTGGGCAAAACTCCAACCCGGGGCAAACCGGAGCCGCCAGCCCCATCCCGCAGCCTCGGGCGGGGGGGGGGGGGGGGGGGTGAAGGGAAGGGGCCGTCCCCATCCTTCTGCCCACCCTCCCTCGCCCTGCTCCTCCCTCCTCCTCCTCCTCCTCCTCCTCCTCCGCGCTTCCGCCCCGGCGCGGCTCCGCTGGGCGCCCGGCGGGGCCGGGGCCGGAGCCGGGAGCGGGCCGGGGGTCTCACCATCCCGGAGCAGAGGCTGATGACGGCGGTGTGCCGCGGGCGGGCGTTGACGTGCCCCCGGTAAAAGCAGTGCTTCACGTCGGCGTCGGCCGCCTCGGCGTAGAGGCGCCGTTGGTCGGCGGCGGGTTCTCCCAGGAGGCTGACGGTGAAGAGCGGGGCGATGAAGGCCGAGCTGGCCGTCAGGTTGAAGAGGAACTGCTGCCCGAAGGCGGAGAGCCTGTAGTGCGCCTTGGGGGAGGCGGAGGCGGCGGCCGTCCAGGCGTCGGGGGCCGCGCTGGTGCTCCGCCGCCGCCGCCTGAAGTGGACATCGGTGGGGAAGGGCTCGCCAAACTCATTCACCCGGGTAGGAGTCACGATCTCGTACTCGCTGAGCTTCTCCAGCAGCTTGGCTGCCAAGGGAAGGGAAGCACATGCCCCTGAGTGGGGAGGCCGAGCACCCCCCAACCCCCGCGGGGGGTGGCAGCCCAGCACCCCCTCGCTCCCCCCCCCCCCCCCCCCCCCCCCACGAAGACCCTCTTACCTTGCCTGGGGTGCAGCTTCTGCCTCCTCGCTCCTATCCTCAAGCCGTCGATGAAGAGCGTGGTGAGTGCCAGCGCCAGCGGCGCCAGCTGCATGGTGCTGCGCGCTGTTCTCAGAGGAGAGCAGCCTTCCCCCGCTTGACTCTTCTTTTCCTCCTTCTTTTTTCCTCCCTTTCCCACCCCCCCCTCCAACCTTTTTTTTTTTTTTTTTTTTTCTTTTTTTTTTTTTTTTTCCGCCCCCTTTCTCCCCCCTCCCCGCCCCCGGAGGGGGGGAAGGCGCTGGAGCCGGGCGGTGTTAGGGGCGGGCGGGCCGGCGGGGCACGGGGCGCCGGGGGCCGCGCATGATGCGCGGGGGCGGACGGGCCGGGACCGACGGGCCGGGACGGGGGAGCCGGCCGCCCGCCCGCCTGCCTGCTCTCCCTCGCTTTTCGCCTCTCCCCCCGTCGGGCTGGTGGACGGGGCGCTCCCGGGAGCCAATTTAAGGGGGCGGGCTCCATAGATCAAGGAGGAGAAAAGATCCCGCCCTGCAAGAGCAGGGACAGCCCTTCCTCCTCTTCACCCCCCCCCCCCCCCCCCCTCTTCCAACATGTCACTTTCTTTCATTCTCGAGGAAAGCCGCAATCGCAGGTTTTCGCCAGGAAAAGCCCTCGCTGGGGCTGGACGGGGTGAGCAAGTGGGGAGCCGAGCTGCGGCCCCGCACCCCTGGCCCGGGCAACCCCGGCCGCTCCCCGCCGGCTCCTTGCAAGTGGTTTTAAAAAAGCCAAGTGGCCCGGGCAGAGCGGCACCGGCTGCTGCCCGAGCTGCCAGGTCCCGGGGGGAAGAGCCACTTTGTTGCTCACCGGGAGGAGAGCCGAGTTTCCTTACATAAATGACGGTTTTCCTTCTGTTTTTTTTTTTTTTTTCTTTTTTAAAGACAGCTCGAAGAAGCGTACCAACAATCGAAGAATCCCCTGTGTGACACTTTCCTTAGTGGTTGTTTTCTTCTACATTTCTCAGATAGAAGGTTCTTAAAGCAACTTTTGTTTAGGGTTATTTTTATGTTATGCAGTTTTCAGGCACCCTGAAGGAAAAGAAAGATTATTTCCTTATCATAGTTTATTTCGGTTTGGTTTAAAATTTGGAAGTTTTCTATAAAAATTTAAGACATCCTTTGGAGCTAAGTGTAATTAAGCATTGTCTTTTACCCTCCCTCAAACTAAACCCCAAAACCTTGGGTTCGGGTTGGTTTGTGGGGTTTTTTGTTCAAAACGGGGAAAGATGCAATGAAATTTAAAGCCTGTAGACAAGGCAAAAGAAGATAGATGGTTGGAAGTTTGGATTTGCACTTCCGTAAAAAATTTTAAAGTTCTGTACTTTCTTCCCTCAACTTTGTCACAGCAGAGCACGGGGCAGGAATCTCCACGCTGGTGGAGCCCCAACTTAGCACACCGTTTGGGCAAGCTGTAATGGCACATAACCTCCCAGCCTGGCATTATACCCACACGTATAAACCATATTTAATTTAAGTCTCGGATGCTTACATTAAGATAACTCACCCATATTGGCTTTGGGGACTTGGCAAAGCTGCGATGCTTCCAGGCTTGAGTTGCCTCGTGATCAGTCACCTCCGACAACGGTGTTGGGTCTTCTCACTGTGTCCAGCCTTAGGGCTGGCGTGAGCCCAGCCACGGCTGCCTGACGGTCCCCCAGTTCTGGGCAGCAGAGGTGTCTCCCTCCTTCCATCATGGGTGCGTAGGAGCAGTGATGTGCCCATTCTGGTAGGTATCATCTATTGCCGGGAACAGCTCTTCCCAAAAGCCAAACGTGGTTGAATCTCCATGCACTTACCTGTTTATAACCTGGAACAGATTCATTTTAATGCTGCAAAGGGCCTGCACGGTGATATCTTTCTATCCTTGCAGCTAATTGCTTACTCATGCATATACATTAAGAAAGAACTCCTCAGAAGAGGAGAAAGACCAAACTATTCTAAAATAACTTCAGTCTGCTGGAGCTGCCACGTAAAACCCTGGCTTGCATGGCCTTTCCTGGCTCAGCATGAAAGAACGTGGCATCCCCACCCTTCCCACACTGAACTGTGTCCTGACTGAGTCAGAAAAGCCACTGAGGTCCTTGGACTGCTGGATGAACAAAAAGAAGAATCTCACAACATCATCGAATGGCAGCCCAGGCTTCCCTCCAGGCATGTTTCCTTGCTCTGACTCTTTCCTTCAGGCTTTCCCTGTCTCATTGTCAAATAAATGACTTAACTCGTAGCAGGAGTAATATCTGCTCTCAAAGCTGTGGTGCTGCTCTGCCGGGCTAGCGGGAGCACCCTGTACATTACCGAACTCCTCACAGTCTTCCAGCACCTTCCCACAATTTCCATGTGGGCCCCAAAACTTTCAGACTTCACAGGGAGAGGGATACAGGGTGCTGAGCTCGGGAGACAGCCTGAGAAGTCATGGCAAGGGAGGGGGAGGCCGTATCCTGCGCTCAGATGGGAGCGGACACGTATCCCAGGGGTGCTGGCGCGGACAGTTGGGCGTGTTGAGTGATATCAAGCTGCCAGTCAGCGAGGAGGGAGTGAAGAAAAGTGACCTGAGTTGCCTGAGGAAGGAGAGTGAAAAGCTGAGCATAGCATTAGGGCTGAGTCAGAGGGGAGGGGAGGAGGCTTACGTGGAGCTAGTCCTGCCAGTGTCTGGGGGAGAGGGGTACAAACTTCACTCATCTCCTTGTCCTTGGATCAGGATGGTGTTGGGAAACAGGTCTGCTGCTGTTTTATCTGGGTTGCAGAGTGCCCCAGGGCAGCTACTGTTCCTGTTTTACACGCACCCTGCATCCCACATCTCTCAGCCTCAGCATCCCCTTGTGCTGGGTCCGGTGCTGGTAGGAGCTGCCTTGCTGCTCTTCAGCTCATTGACACAGGACAACCTATCAAAACTTTGCTTTTTTTCTTTAGTTAGTTTTCTACAAGGTAACCAGTTAATTTGGCTCTGAGGTGGGGTTCAAAGGAGCTCAGGAGCCGGCACGGGGTGCAAAGTGGCAGCACATACCTCTGACTTGGGTGGGTAAGACTGTTTTCAGTTTGGCACTGAGCTGAATGAAGCGAGGCCGTCACGTGGAGAAGCATCCTCACAGGCTCACTCACTGATCTGAAACCTTGGCACGTACAGACTCGAGGGTAGGCAAGAAACAAAACCCCTCCATCTTTCAGAAGAGAGGAGCTGGCCCACGGAGGGACTGATTAGGTCTCAATTATAGGGCAGAGTTGGGCTGAATTGCTCCCAGGACCAAATCCTGGCTTTGCAATGGCACTAAATGTGTTCCAGGAGCATGGCGTTACTTACTTACAGTGCCATTTCCACTGATACACACAGGAGTTGCATCTTGTGCGGCGTTTTGAATCTTTACTGCTGGAGATTAGGAAGTGCAGAAGGAAAGCTGTAGTGTAAGTAAATAGATTATGTGGAGTTTAGAGAAACTAAGCTACAATCTTAAATTCAAATAACTTTCCTATTAGGAAGGATCTATTAATACTTACGGTATGGTAATTGTGCAGACTCCAAGTCCTCACCCAGTCGAAAGTAACCCCTAAAGAGCCCATACCTACTCATGGAAAAATCCCCTTAAAACACTGGGAATTTTGCCTACATAAATACTGCAAAAGTTGAGCTGCAGCAAATGCCTCCTCTATAAACTACAAAATGTGAACTTGATCACAACAGCAAAACTTCAATGGGAAATTTAAGGCAGTACGCGCTGTTTCGAGACTACATTCAATGATCCCAAATTTCCTGAGGTTTTTGCGTTGCTTTCATTCTCGTACCATTTCCTTTTCCCCATAGGTGAGGGCAATCCCCAGTCACTAATCTTTGGTTTTTGCCGCTCAGCCTCTCAGTGTAAGCGTCATCTTCCTTTATCTGCTGCATCCAGTCCCTTGCCCAACGATTATCCCAGAAGGCACACTGTTTCCCTTTGATGGCTGCTCTTCAGTGCCACAAGATAACCAAAGACAGCAAACATTTTCTCCTCGTGTCTAATCTGTGTGGTCAGAAAGTGAAAGATTTAATTCCCTTCAAACACCAACTGTCTGCTGACTGGTTTTCCACCTCCCTTGCTCATCTGCCTATGATGGTAACAAGGATACTGCTCTGTGCTGTCTTCCTCTCAAGTTTAGGAAGCTGCTCTGCTCACATAAAGGTCTATCTTTAAAGGACATTTTCAGCAATTGTGGCAAGGCTGGATTTTAAAGTTGGATTTTTAAGCCTTTCGCATTTGTTTAGAGGAGCTGAGACTTTTAAAGTACTTGGTATATACTTAATTTTTAAACTTGTTATCCGTGCCAAACCAACTATTTTTGATCCAGCTAAAAGGATTTAAATATACAGTTTAACTCATGTATGGTAGCCATTTAAGCTCCTTCTTCCTCTGTGGGGCTCTCTGTTCTTACCCCGAGCCGTGCCCCTCATAGTGTGCTGCTGCCATCGAGGTCTGCATCGCTTGGCTGGTTGGGGGTTTGCTCCTCTGACCCATAGAAGGCTGGGAAGTGGTACCTGCCCTTCACTGCAATGCCAGCACAGCACTTCAATCGCTGCTGTCACAGCTTTACCTTCTTCAGACCTGTATCCTGGTCCCCATTTTAGGGTTGGTGGCAGAGAGAGATGTAAATGATGTGCCAGGATGCTGCAGAGAAGAATTAAACTCTTGGTCACATCCTGAATACTGAGATGTGCACATTGAAATGACTAATCCAAGGTCACCCAGGCAAATAAGATACCAATATCCTCCAGCTTGGTCCTGGGTCAAACTGTGCAACTTAAATGTCTTCCCAGCCAGTGCATTGCAGCCAGAGCTGTGTCCTGTGGGAGCCATCCCTCTGCACAGAGGCGCAAGCTGGGTGCAGTTGAAATGCAAATAAAACCCTGTCCTTGCAGACATCATCCCAGCTCCTTGCCTGGGTGGGGAACCACCATTTGGGAACAGAAGGTGAAGGAAGAAAAGCAAAACAAGTCTCTCATATTGCTTTGCTCATATGCAAGGAAACTGGCTCTCAGTTTTCCTTAGAAACAACTTTGACCCTGGAAAACAGATACATGAGTAGGAACTAGGGACTGGGTGGGAGGAACAGCAGAGCCCACGTAGATGCTGCAAATGTGTGGGATTTTAAGCTTCAGGTCAGCATGGATGGACATAATGATCCCTTGAGGCCTTCCACTTAAAACTGGTGGTTCCAGCTTGCCCCTCCCTTGCTCCCAGCATTGCCGCAGACCATTCACACACTGCTCCTTTTGCTTACACCTCTTGTCTGCGTTGGAGAAAACACATGCTCAGAGTAGCCTAACTTCTGTGTCCCACTGCAGCCTGGCAGTGCCTTTGGCCTGACAAGCATTTATAGACCCCATTCCCTACCCTTTTTACTACAGGTAAAAAGTTTTACTACCTGGGGCAGATCCTAAAGCACCTGAGAAACACTTAATTCTGGATCTTCCCATTTTTGTGCAAATTAAGCCATCAAGCTAAACATTATATTGGTTTATCTTTTGTGTTTGACATGCTTTAAATCAAACAGAACCTGAATACGCTCCTTTTGACTTCTGATATTATGTACACGTGCATCTATGCTGTGTTCCAGGTGTCTTTGCCAAAATGTTAATAGTAATACTATGAAGACTAAGCAGAGCAGATGTTCTGTAATCCCACGCCGAAAGGCAACCTTGGAATTTTGGAAGTTCTGCAGGTACAAAATGCTTTACCCCTCGAGCCATGTACTTTTCTTCATATAAACTAATTATCATAACAGCTCTGCAAGGTATCACCATCACCTTACAAAGAGGAGACTGAGATGGTTAATTTGGCAAAGGGCATGGAATCGTGGAGCTCTGACCCTGTGATCCGTTCTACCCCCCACTTAAGCTCTCATGTAGCATAAGCATACAATGTAATATTTCTGTGCAGGGATCATTAAACTGTAAAACTCTATTTTAGGAGAGTTGTTTTCATTCCTTCCCCAAATAGTAGATTGTCTCCAGAGATAATAAAATACAAATATCCATTAGAGTAGTAGAAAAGCTAAGCAGCTTTACAGATACCAAGTTCTTTTTCCTTAAGCTGTTTGGTTTCCCTAGGGGTGTCACAAGGTAGTCAGCTAAAAGCAAAGACATCTCCCTGGGGGAAGTGTTTGTGATGTTGTTGTATTTGTATAGTGGTAGGAAGTCTGTACCAGTTATAAAACCATCAACAAAAAAGTGTCAATGGCTAAAAAATGGGAATGTTTTAGGCCTGATCCAGCTCCTGTGAAAATTCATCAACAAAACTTCTACTGGCTTGAAGAAGTGCAGAATCGGGGCCTCTGTGTCATTTCCAGGAGCTATTTTACAGCATCACATCATGCTCATTAATATCCACCTGACAAGCATGTATAACACCCAGTAGTTCATTACCAAGATTATGGAGCTTGAAAAAACATTTCTCTCTAACTTTGAAAAATGGGTCCGTTCCCTACGGTGCAGCACCGAAAACCAGGGCATTCTAAAATGCTACCCAGGTAGCTGAGGGTTGCCAGCACAGACTGGCACAGAGAGGAAGATAATTTAATGGTAGCTCCATCACTTGGTACAACTGCTGGCATCGTATCATTACTACAGTCAGAAGGTGCACCAAACCAGAGCAGCAATGTGGGATTGCTCCCCTGATGCTAAAGGAATAAGAGACGCTGCTTAAATATGATGCTGCAGATGCAACTTCCACCAAGTCTCCAACTTGCTGAGTTCAGGATGTGGTGAGGAAGGAGCTCTCCTCCTACACGTGCTCCTACACTCTTGCACCTAGTTTCCTCATTTCCTCTGAAAGCAACATTGATAAGGAACAGACTGGGGATGCTTAGGCAGTGGAGAGTCAGCATATAAACATGTGACAAAATTCTAAAAAAGGGATTTGGTCTCTCCCCAACTATGTTGTGTTTGCTCTGGATGAACGAGTGGTGAGCAAGTTCTATTTTCAGCCACACACTCTGCAACAACCTGTCCTTTTCTCACGATGGCCATCGCCCCTCCTGAGCAGTTGGGTACAGCTAACACAGGATCCCTCAATACTTTTTGTGCCTGGATCATTGCTTTGCTGTCAGGTGCCTGCAGCCTTGGCCTTGTTACTTCACTACCAGGCTCTGCTTTTGCAACTAAAATAGGGCTCTTAACAGTAAGAATTTAGTGTTTCTTGAATGATGGAATTTAGGTGAGGTGTTAAGGAGCAGGCTCAGAAGTAGGGGGATGCAACCAAGGGAGAGCAAACTCTGGATGATCTGCAAAGCTGAAACAGAGTTGTCCTCTCCAGCTGTTTCCATCAGCCACCTCTACTCCACACCTTCCTGCCTTCTCACTCACTAAAATCCTTTTTTTTTGATGTCAAAGGCTGTGTAGGAACAAACCTGGAATCCATACGTTCCCCTTGCAGGTGCAGGGAGAGCTACACGAATGATGTGGATCGGCTGCAGCCTTCATAACCACATTCATATCATGCCACTCAGGCTGGGCCGCCGTAGAGAGAATTAATGGAGTGTAAATCCCTGTTTGGAACTACACAGCTTCTCCAGCTTCTCCCTGTAACTCCTTCACTCCCTTTGCAAACCACACAAGGAAGGGATCTCCCCAAAGAACCACAGCTGGACATCTTGGGTCGTGACAGAAAGAAATGGAGTATTCACAGAGCCAGAGCTGCCTGGCTGACAGGTTCAGAGCTAGCTGTGATACTTCCAAGTGAGCATATAGTCCTGAGACTAAAGCCTGCTAGCAACAATCCTCTTTTAAAGTTATTGTATGGCTTGGCTACAAAGATAAGGCACCAGATGGCTTGGGAAGAATTTTTAGGAGACAGTTGTGCTAGTATGCCTGGAAGGATTTTGAGAGTTTACATTTATAATAGACTATTTCTTCGGAGGCGAATGTTTGTTAGGATCATCAGTTTTAATTACTTAAAACGTAGGCTGTTTCTGAATGTAGCCAGTGTTAAGAGTAGGGGTTTTTTGTGTCTTTGTTTTTTTTTTTTTTTTTTTTTTTTTTCCTGAAGAGAGGACAGCCAGCAGGAATACCTTCTTTTAACTTTATAGGTAGCAGATTGCCTCATGGAGACAAACATTATGCAGCTTTCATCCCAAATACTATACTGAAGCACTTCCTTTCACTGGTGAATTATTCGTTGCACAAGAAGGTATTTCTTTTTATCTGTTTTCAGTCAATGAAGCAAGCAACTAATTTTGTCAACTCTAAGCACACAAAAACATGGATCAGTCCTGAAAATTCCCAAGACTTTTAAACCAAGCCTTACTTTGCCTTTTTGTTTCAAAGAGGGATGAGCTGGGACAGGATCCGTAAGGATGCTGGTAGGAATGGGCAGTATGGCTGAAAGAGCTTAGCAACCTTTCAGTAATCTAGGTGTTGCTTTCATACACCCATTTTACTTCTAAAACAAAGTGTGATCAGTTTTCAATAAGAATTATAGCACTGTTACCTACAGTATCAGGAGCTAAATTTGATGACACCAGGAATAGAGCTCCCATATACCCAGTTTAAGGGCACAGCCTTTCTTTTCCAGCTAGAAGTGTTACCCATATGTATTTAGAGGATCTGGACCATTTGGGCTTTCCTGATAACCACAGCTCTGCCAGAGCTCCTCATCACCTGCAGACCCAAGGAGATGTAGACGTGGGCAGCACATCTCGTATGCCTGGAGATATGGCAGCTCTGCTAAGGAGGTAATTTCCTGTCCTACAATACATGTATGTTGTGATATACGTGTCATATTTTTCAGGCCTCTCTACTTTCTGTATACACTAGAATATAAATAACATTACTGAATGTTGGTAATGGGAATCAGGCTCAAGTTTGTGAGCCAGCTGTTTCCATGTTTTCTCCCCATGTTTTATCAGCTTAATTCTTAAATATCCCTAACATTTCCATCCAGAATTTTTAAAGGGAGGAAGCATGACTTGGAAATGACTGTAACATAAATGGATTTGTTGACTTAACTGACATTGTTTTGACATGACAAGGCCTATCAAGGGACCAAGACCCCTTTGTGCTTACTGCAGAACAAACACAAGACTGAAAATGGAGCTGGTATCGGAGTTCCCCTGCCTTATCACACTAAGTTAATGCGTTACTCCACGCTAGCCAGCCAGTTAAGAGTAACATTTGTTACAGGGAGAGGGAAAACTTGTACATAACAGCAGCTTTGTGTTTCTATACAGTTTTCATAGCACGTTCCTGTCCGCGGCTCTTTGTAACTCAAAGCTTGTATTCAAAACAGAATTTTCCAAATCTGAGACATTTCATCTATCAACAACGTAGTTCATGCAACACCAGGACAGGGAGATTCTGGCCCATGACTGAGAGCTCTAGACCCGACATAGCTCTTGAGCCGTGCTGGCATCTCCCAGCACCCATGGGCCAACCAAACACCCCAAGAGCCAAAAGGGCACCCATCTCTCCAGCCCCCCAGAACAGATGTGTAGTACTGGGCTCATTAAAACAAACGCATACGTATCCTGTTTGATTCTGTGAATTAATTAACCTCTCTGAACAGTGAGAATGTAACTTTGTAGCCCTAGTTATGTATATATAAAGCCACCTGGTTTAGAGCAGTGGTATCTAATTGACAGCATGAAATTTTTTTGAACACCGCTATGAATCGAAAATAGGCCTCTGGGCCAGGAGTCAGCAGTTTTCAAGATCTGACATGCTTCTACCGAGAACATCAGGAGGGATCCAGTGTCACCACCTCTCTGCTGCTTCGGCAGCATCATAACAGCTCTGACCAAGAATCGTCACCATGGCCCTTCTCTCTTGCAGCTATCCCTGAGACGCTGTCCTGTAACCCACTGCACCGCACAAGGAACAAGAGAGAAGCTTCCGAATTGCTTAGACACATAAGTGGTACTACCATGTTAGGGCCATTTCACGCCATCTCCAGGGCATGCCAACAGTGACCATTCAATGGTGATGGGATAAGAACAAGGCAAGCTTACAGCAGCGTTGTACCTGAGCACTAGTCCGTCCTCTGAGGATCTGCTGTTGGGTGACCTGTGCCAGAGGTGATGACCTTGTGTTCCTCTGCTGAGCTGCTCCAGGAGAAGAGGGACCAGAGTCTTTCCTGGGGAGATACAAACATTATGGTAACTCTTGCCCTTTTTCAAAGGCAGTGATTGTGTTGAAAAGCTTGACCTTGCACGGCCCTACATTGTAACAGAGATACCAAACATGATAGTTTAGCTTCCACTGAGCACCCAGAACAGACATGGCTGTGGAAATACCAGATTAACAAATTCTAATTAAAAAACCCCACACCATAGCCTCAGTGGCATGCATGTGCAGCCAGACTAGGGTTGCCAATGGCTGTGAGCTTTTAGCAAAAAGGGCTGCTAGATCTCTCGGTGCATGGAGCTATAATTACAGCAGTCAAGGACAGAAGCCCCTTTTGCTTTTCTGCCTTGTTCCTTAAGACTTTTCTCATGCCCCAGCCCTCTCCTTGTGTTCTTCCTTCAGGCCATGTGTCATCTGTCCAGGTCACCAAGGAGTCAGGTTCCCGTGCCTAGAAACCAGCTCTTATTGCCAGATCTTTTTCTTTCTGCATCCATTGAAATCTATAAAAATAAGACAATGCATGAGTAGCTTTTTAATCTAATTATACTTGTGTTTACTTGGCAGAATTTTAGATATTTTGCAACCAATTTATTTGACCCAGTAAAGAGCTTCCAGGAGAAGACATGAGCGTGTGATACAGTGACACGGATGTCTGCTGTCAGTTAGTCTGAAATGCAGTACAAGGGCACACTTCTCCACCCAAGCCCTTTGGCAAAAGTGCATGTAACTCGTTTCGTGATTTCAAGAAATACGTGCAAATGCAACCAGCCTGCAGCTGGAGGGGTCTAGAGCACCCTGCAAGTGTGAGTACAGCCGTGTCTGGCCATCATGACACAGCCATGAGCCCCTCAGCCCCGGGCGGTGTATGAATAGCACAGCAGTTGGAAAAATTCACACAGAAGATTTTGCAAGCACATTTGCTGTTTGAAACTTTGCCCTAGAGACTGGAGTCTCCCGCAACTGTGAGAAAGGAGGCTCCTTGTCGTTTATAGCTGAGGTCAGAGGAGGGCCAGAGCAAGGAAGTTTGTATTGCAACAATTTGTACCTTATCTTGTTTATAGATGTAAACAGAAGGTTTATGCTGCTGTTACTGAACTCTCCTACTACAAAAATGTTCAGTGCATAGAGAGAGAGTTAAGCAATGTGTGTGCACATCTATTTCTTGAGGATATTTTGAGAAGTACAGTTAAAGAGTCTGGTGTTTCTGAAGTGTTTGGAAATTAGGAGTCCTTTGCAGTGATTAAAACCCCAAACCTTCTGCAGACTGCAGGGGTCATTCCAGGATCTCTACAGGGTCTGGATGTAACTCTTAAGCTTCATGGACTTGGGTCAACACCATTGAAGCCAAGAGTTCTTTCACGAGCTCTAGGTCACTCCCTCCCAATTGCTTCTGAAGTCATTGCCCAGCCTTTTCTCATTTTAGTCACAGTACCAGAGTTTTGTATCATTTTAAAAGCTCTAAGGCAAGGGACATATGGAGCCTACAAAAGCATAGTTATTGTGCTAGCTAGCTCCAATCCCATGCCAAGCAAATTATTCATGCACACTCTGTGGATAGGAGGCACAAGCTTTCATGTGGTTATATGGATAAAGGGAGGAGAATTTTGGCCACTGACTCAGCCTGTCAGCAATGTTTCTCCCTAAATACAGCCATGGAGCTGCAAAGCAGATTTCCTACAGCACTGATGGTGGGGCAGTACTCTCTCTGTAAAATGTGACCCCTTATTTACATGCCACTTGGAAACCAGTATCATACAAGGGAGCCAAACTCTTCCAAAAGTCTGGCCCTTTGATTATAACCTTTCATGAAAGTAAGCAATTGAACAAAAGCAGCTTAGAGATAGCATTTCAAACGAGAATCAGACGGCTTGCCTGGAACAGGAGGAATAGCAAACTCCCCAGCCTGTTAGAGACATGGCCACGCTATATGATGCTGCGCTCCCACATCCAAAAGGAAACCTGACATTCAGCAGGTGTTCTGCTTTTAGGAGAGTCTCATGGAATGAGAAAGGCTTTGAGGAGACACACTACAAAAAGGACCTTTAAAGGCACCTAACTGTTCCATTTCAGCTCCATGACCAAAGTGGTTTTTTGTTTTTGTTTTTGGTTTTGGTTTTTTTTTTTTTTTGTGTTTTTTTCTCTCAGCAGATTTTATTCAATTACCATTGCAGTGGCCACTGCAGAGTGCGGGCTACATTCCTGCTTCAGTTGCCTTTGTGTCCACTTGGCAGCAATCCTGATCACCCAGAAAAGCAGACAGTTGCTATTTTCCTCCATTTTTACTTTCCCCTTAGATATATTTCTTATTTGGCCTTGCCATACTGAAAAAAAAAATAAAATTCTTATGATCCTTTCATAAAGGAATTAAATTTACTCTGTCATTTTAGTTAGTGGAAATAGAAAAGTCAGCTGACTGTAATTGTACAATAAAGCCAAGAGTAGTTCATTTCAATCCTTGTTCCATAATGCTTATGTAATTCAGACCTGGAGACAAAAGCACTAAGGTCATGGATTAACAGTGGCTTAAAGTTGAAAATAGCCTGAGGAAGTAAGGATGACAAAGTAATTACTATTGGGCAAATCATATATTAATGGGTATGGGAATTATTTAGTGTATGACATTTAATCAATATAAATGAAAGAAATAAAAGAAATATAAAAGCAAATTCAACTTTTAAGATCTCCACTAATATATATATATATATAACTAGTCTCTATAATTGAAATAGATCTACAAAAAGTTAAATGTGAAATGACAATATATTAAAATAAATTATTTTGTAATAATTAAAACAGTAGTTGAAATACAGAGATATTTCTCATGAGCAGTGCTTCCTAAGTGTGTTTTTTTCAGTGATGTATAAATCTAAAACTGGTGCTATTCAATTGAGGCACCAAGCAATTGAAAAACATACTGTGCAGACACTCATCCCTAAACACCTGCCATAAACTGTACTTTTCTAGATAAAAGATCACAGTTCAGAGGTAAATAATTTTGGAAATTAACTTTGTTATAACATGTGAGGTAAATCCCATCAAAACTTTCATGTACATACCCCAAAAAATTAGCAAAGTCAATAATAAATGCTCTGGTAGGGTCTGTACTCACCAGTGCTGGAATTTCACAAGATACCTAGCAATGTTTCATTAGGATCACCTATTGCAAGAATTACAGCTGGTACAATAATAATTGCTGTGCCAAAGATAATTGCAGAGATTGCGAGAGCACAAACCACAGGAAAACTAGAAAAGGAATTCTATGACAAGAATGCCATGAAATTTTTCCCACAACAAATAAGGGAAGAAAATTAGATTTCTAAACAGAGGGTGGACATTTATTTGCCAGGGTAACAGCTACTCTCTGCACAGAAATCATCCCTCAGAACCTGTGGGATGTTCAGAACAAGGAGCAGCTGAACACATCCAAAGACAGCAGCAGCAATTATTTTTTAAGTGCTGTGCTAAAAGAAATTACACCTGCAGGCATTATCATTGGGTGAAAAAAAACATACACGGATATAAACCAGTTCTGCTATTAATGAGACCACCTCTAGCCTTATTGCCCAGCACCCCTCTGAAGGCAAGTGCCTCATCTCAGTGATTGGGACTTACTGGGAGAATTTCATCTTGGCTTTAATTCATAGCTCAGTCAGAGGAGAGTTTACAGAGACCTTTTGGGTCTTTGTAACACTGTGTTAGTAATAGCAGAAATAAAACCACTGTCTTGGGATAATGCACCTTCTTTATACAAACATTTCATCTCAAAGTCTTAAATAGGCAATAAAACAATATTTAGTTTTATAAGTCTTCTTTGTTTAGGTTCATAATGTACCAACCTACCACATACATTCCCCACATTCAGAACACCTAGAGACCTCTATTGATTAGAAACCCATCCCAAAGTAAATGTACCTTTTGAGTCAAAGATAATCTGTTCTGAAGAAGGCTGCCAGCCAGGTCCTGTGGATACAGGAGGGTAAAGTGCTCTTGATTATTTAAGAAAAAAAAAAAAAAACCAGTGTTTTCCGTTTCAGAAGTGAATTTTTGCACACACTTATTCAAAGCCATGTTTTCTGCATTCAAATATAGGTTGTGACTTCAAGAAAATATCCACTGAGACTTTTCTTACTCCCAGCCTTTGGATGCCAACATCAAGAAAATGATGAGGCATCGCATCCTGCCCCCATACACACAATGCAGTATCTCAGGCTGTTTCACAGTGTTTTTCCTGTCCTTCAATTGCCCCATGAAACAAGACGATTGTTACATACATGTAGTTCAGCTTAAAGACTGCTTACCAGGATGATTCTGATTCTCTGTCTCTTATGAGACATGTAATCCTATTTAGTGTTTTAGCTGTTTCATACATGAACTGGTGGCTCTGTGCTGTTCCTTGTCCAGTGATGGTAGATAACAACTCCTTTGGCATGTAGTACTCAACTAAGGCAAGCACTGAAAGTGTTAACTCAAAGGCAGGATAATGTCCTATTTGGTTGAAGTAAAAAGTAAATAAATACAGGATTTACTGCAATTTACAGCTTAGGATGAGATCAGGTGCCCGTCATCTCCAAACACCTCTCAATCAGCAAATAGTAATCCCTCACAAAATAGATTGTTGTTTTTTAGTAGAAGTTTTTCTGGAGAAAATGGAACCATATATTATTCCTCTGTAGAGTGGAGAGAGGTGGAGTTTAAACTCAACTGAAAACTTATCCAGGGTTTCTGGCAGGCGCAGGCCAGAAGTGTGTGATTTGTGCTACTTAGCAGATCTCTGCATTTCATGAATCCCAGGTAATGTGCAGAGGGATCTCTTTAAAAGCATAGAAGAAGCTAGAACTGTCAGCAGCTAATGAAGAGGGCAGGGAAATGAAAATGGAGCAAAAGGGAGAGCAGGCTCAGAGTTCTGCCCCCACCATGAGCAAGGGAGGACTCACTCACATTCCTGGGAATTACTGTGTTAGAGCCACCTGCCTACAGGGTTAACTTTCTTCCCCTCTTATTTCAAATGAGGGAGTCAACCCGACCTTTACTTTCAGATCTGAGAGGAGCCTTGAAAATGAGAACAGTGAAGCCGTCCAAATGCAAACACTGGCTACAGTAGACCTATTTATAAATAGTTTAGAAGAACACCATGAACTGCAGAAGGAGGGGAATTTTCTCCCTCCTCCCAAGTTTGCTGCCTCAGTGAACACAGTGGCATGCTTGAATTTGCTTTCTTACATACCAGGAGGCCTGTAGCAGAAAATGAGGTTAAATTCACAAATGTGGGACCCAATTCAGTCAAGTGGCACCAGCTCTGGTTTTGCTGCAGTGCATGAAGGGGCTGGTCTGCAAAACAAGTCCTTGGTCCCAACACAGCCAACTTCAGGCTTTTGTCAGTGGTCCTTCCTCATGGGAACAGCCTCTGGACAAGGCTGCCAAGGGGAAAAATCCCAAACCAGGTCAAGTGGCTCAGAGGTCCCCTACCTCTAGAGGAGAGGGGGGCTGGGGACAGCCTCCCAGGC